ATACTGTAAATCAGTGAATAGTCATCTTCCTAATTTTTTATCATTCTTGATTTCACATATGTATTTGAGTTGCTTAAAGCAAGAAATAAATAGATTTCAGGATATCAGGTTCTTTGCCTTTGTCAGTTTAATGGCCTTTTGAAACTGGGTTTTGTGACTTTTTGATGGTTTTCGTATTTCTACTTTACTAGGATCAATCTTTTAAGACAATTTTAGGCATTTTAAAACTTGTTAAATTGTTTTTCAGTTGGCTCCACAAATATTTTGTTTTTATCCTCGCTCATGCTAGAAGTTCAAATTGGTAAGATTTTATTATTTTGCCTACTTACAGGTAATTTATGAGGTATAGGACCTTGTTTTATTCACTGCTGTATGTCCAGTGCCTAGAATAGTGTCTAGTATGTAGTAGGAACTCAATAAATGTTTGTAATAAGTATTTGTTATTGAATGACTCACTGTAAGGAGAAAGGCTAATTGCTGTCGAGGTGATTGTAACTCATGGTGACCCCATAGAACCATGCTCCATAGAGTTTTCAGTGGCTGATTTTTCAGAAGTAGATCTCCAGGCCTTTCTTCTGAGGCACCTCTGGGTAAACTCAAACCTCTAATCTTTCAGTTAGCAGCTGTTTACACTACCTAGAGACTCCAAGGGGAAAGGCAGCAAAGATAAATTGTAGTGTTCTTACATCTTGACAGTCCAACCAGTGTTTTAATCACTTTGGAAGCTTCTTCATTTCTAATTTATTTCTATAGAGAAGTCATATGTCTTGTGTTTCTCAAGCATGGCTGATAACTAGATTATGTTATTGTTACCAGTCATTGTTAGCTGTCGTCAAGTCGGCCCCTGAATCTTGGTAACCTCATACACAGTGGGATCAGACTATTGTGATCCATAGGGTTTTCCTTGGCTAATTTTTATGAAGTAGATTGCCAGCCTTTTCTTCCTAGTCTGTCCTAGTCTGGAAGCTCCACTGAAGCGTGTTCAGTACCAGAGCAACATGGAAGACTCCACTGACAGATAGGTGGTAGCTGCACTTGAGGTGCATTGGCTGGAAGTGAAATCCAGGTCTCTCACATGGAAGGCAATAATTTTACCACTGAACCACCACTTCCCTGCTTGAATATGGTTGTTCCTTAATATTTTCTTCCCAGTCATTCTAGTCATAGAGTTTGTCTCTTTAAAAATAATGTTTCTTCCACTACCCCATAAAAAAGTATTTCTTTTCAATCTAAATTTTTGAGCCAATTCTGTTGGTTGGTGTATCCTTACTGCTTTAAAATAAAAACTGATTCATGAGGGGTTGTCCTTAGAAACAGGGTGGCTATAGGTGATCAGTGGGTTTTTTTATTTGGCCTTACTCTCTCTTCACTTATAAGTCATAATGCCTTCACATTTTAGCAAGAGCTGCATGTGTGAGCATTTTGATACTTTTGTTATTGTAGAAATGAAACTGTCTTTTAAAATACAGAAAATATAATTCCATTTGATTAGTGAAATATCATTTAAAGTTTTTATTTAGAAACTGTGGATACCAGGGTTTTTTTCCCCCATCACATGAATTCATTAGTATTGGCACAGTCTAGATTTAGTATGTGTTTTCTTCTTTCTTTCCCTTTCCAGTTGGCCAGATTACAGTCATATTGTCTATTGAGCTTAAGCCAAGGAAGACAATTTCTTCTAAGGAGAGTATTTAATATTCTGGTTGAAGTTGCCTCCTTTGGAGTGAAAAAATAAAAACAAAAATATTCCTGATAATTTAATGGATTCTAAAATATATTTGTTCCCTTTAAAAGAAACCAAGAAACAGGGAGCCTAGATTTAGTTAATTTCATTTTAAAAGGAAATTAAGTTTCTAGAAAATATCCTGTTGGCAGACATTCTAGTGCTACCTACCTTTTGAAAAGGTATCACTGTAAGTTGTTATTCATGTTTTTTTATGACAGGATTTACCACTGGTAGCAAATCAGTAAATTGAGGGGAATTTATTTATTTATATTTATTTATTTTATGGTGCAGCCTCTTCCTGTATGTGTTGGTCAGTGTTTTTTCCCTCTGGGATTTTTTTCTTGTTTTGGAGCCTTTGTAATTATGGAAAGAAATTACTGCTTGGCCTGGTCAGTAATGTCACCTTCAGAGGACTTTGAAAAGCCAGGCTGTTTATTTTCTGTGAGTTGCCTCTGAGTGGACTAATTGTAAATGCGACAGCCTTTTTGATGGCTACTTTCTCTGGACTTCCTGGTCTCCAAAGCTTGGCTTTGTTGTGTGCAGAAAGAAAGATGTTGGCAGGCCTGGGAAGACTGTTCATCAAGAGGAAGCAAAATTCTAAGGAGAGCCACTTAAAGAGTTTTATTTATTCATAACAGAACTCAAATACACATAAGTTTTCCACGCACTGAAGTTGTAAGGTTATTTTCCAGGCCTCTTAAATTGTTATATTTTTGGGGAAGGTCTGAGGACTCCACCCTCCCTGCCTGCATTATCCCCATAGAGTTCTTTTATGAAGCAAATAGCTTGATCAATGTCCCATTGATCTAATTGAGTCTTTGATGTATTTTCTTTAAGGAAAAGTCTCACCTTGGGCCCCAATACTGATTTACCAAAATGAGAGATTGGAAGCTCTGGCTAGTTTTCTCGCTCTAAACTGGCCTCTTTCCTTTCCCTGCATTATTGAAAAGGAGAAGGTTCATGTTCTCAAGTAACAGTACAAAAATCTCACACCCTAGTCCTACCAGTATGGAAACAGCTGCTGCAGCACAGAATGTTCTTCCTCTGTCCCCAGCTGAAATTGGGGGAGGGACAAAGCCCAATTGTTACTTTACCCCCATCCTGTCTGCCTGCTAGAAGGCCTATTTCCTACCCTGATGGTTTCTGCCTAACAAATGGTGTTTCTTTTTTACAGCATTATGATCCTGGACTTGTTGTGGTGATGGTAAACTTAGCAGTGGTAATTTTTTATTTTCAGACTGAATTACTCCTTTTGTCATCAGTGCACCAATATGTTAGGCTTACTTTCTCTGTTGTAGCCTTCATCCTTCTGCTTGGTCTTTTTCATTTTCCTTTCCTTTCCTTTCCTTATGCAACTTGTCTGATCCTTGTTCATTAAAGGGTAATGTTAAGAAGGGATTGTTTGTTTGTGTTAGAACTGCCAAAAAAAAAAAAATCAGTTAAAACATTAAATTCTAATACTGTCAAAACTTGATTTCCCCACAATGTAATGGGCACTAGCACTTGCTACTGCGATTTATAAATAAAACAAACTTTGACTGCCTTAGAAGGCAAAAGTACTAATGCAGAGTTTATAAACGGGGGTTTACAGAGGTAATGAATTTGTACCAAAACTTTTTCTTGATTCTTGCAAAACAAAAAAATTCCGGTAGACCAAAAACGATCCCCCCACCAAAGAAAAGTAAATTCCTTTGACATTTCTTTTCAATTGTTCCATTGGACTGTTTGTTTTTACCAGTAAATCCCTGATTGAGATGTTATGAAAGTGATATTGCACCTAGGAAGTCATTTTTATAACCTGTCTTTAATTTGGTCCTTTTGCTAAAGATTGCAGTCACTGCTTATTTATTATACCATTGGGCATAAGGTAGTAATGCATTTTTGTTTCTTTAACTGGCCGTCTTTGTTAGTACCTAAAAGAAGGCTGTATTCTAGAACTTTTTTTTTTGATGGCATGAGATGCTTTATTTAAACTTTTTTTTTCACTATGATAATTGTTTCTAATTATATCCCTATTTATTGTTGAAAAGCAATGATGGGATATTGGTGATAAGAGTTAAACTTCTGAATTCGTTTTTCATTACTTTTTAAGACAAAAATAATCTCACAAATAAAAAGCAACTGAGTACAAGTGGTTGCCTGTCATTTTGAAAATGGTGTCTTCTTTTTTCCCAGGATCAGTCCCAGTCACAATCATGGTACTTATAATTTAAAAAAAAAAAATTTTTTTTTTTGGTAATACCTCAGATTTAGCCAGGCAAAACTCAGTTTTTAGCCCAAAGGTATAATATATACGTGTATATAACAAAACCAACAAACGAACAAAAAAACCAATTGTTTACACCAGCCTGAGTGAAATGATGAGGGAAGTAAACATTGTGTTTTTTCACTAAAGGTGTACAACGGATAAGGTAAGTCCTCTTTTCAGTGGGCTTACATCACAATAAACAGCGCAAGTTGTGATGTAAAACAGCTGTGGTAGTAAAGTGCTTGTCTGCCCCATTTTGCTTTGTTTGGCTGGTTATGAGTGGATTAAATATACATTTAAAAAAAAATTCTCCAGCATAGATTGATTAGTTTAAAGTCAATTTTCTTCGCAACTAGTCCTTTTCACAGCTTACCGATTGCCATTTGCCAGTGTTAAATCCAGTCTGGGAAATAGGACCTCAGAGCAGTAGTTTAAAAAATAAAAAAGTTCTTCGTTCCTAAAAGCAACTAACTGTTGCTTTTCATTTAAATTTTTCACAGCCTCATTTAATTGTAAACTATCTTTTGAAATCAAACAAAAATATTAAATATACTGAGTTGCAATTATAGTTTTCTTGCATCATGTTTGAAAATGTACCTTTTTGATTTAAGCATATCAGTTGATGTATTTATTACCAGTTAAAAAGTGTGTATGGGAGGATGTCAGTAGGTAGTAAGAGTGAAGTGATTCATGATGGGAGGTTATTTTGGGATCTTTTTTAAAAAAATTTTGATTTTAAACCTCCTAGTGTCATTGCTTGAAGTGCTTTGTGTTTCTTAGTAATTTAATTTTGCCGTAGTAAAATGAAATTATCCCCAACTAGAAGTCAGCCAAAGTGGTTAGTTGGGTTTAAACTGGAAGAAATAGGTTTGGGTGTAAGCTGTGAGAATGGCTTGTGTTTGGTTCACTGTAGCTTTCTGGTCTCTGCACTCCAAGGCAAGATCTCTAACCACCCAAACCCAATGTGTAAAATAAGTTGTTTGGCTTGGCTTTATGTCTTACCTTGATTATATGTTCCTGTTACAGGGAGAACAGATCCTATCCCGATCGTTGTCAAGTATGATGTCATGGGCATGGGTCGCATGGAAATGGAGGTAAATTAATCTTATTAACGCACTTGTTTTATGGGATTTAAAACTGATATTCCAAATTCAGATGCCAATGCAAGAATACACTTAGTAGATGGAATTGTAGTTTTAATATTTTTCTTTCAACAATTTTGAAATACTATTTTACATTCTCATTTAGTGCTACCTTTGAGGCAGGTAGATAATAAATAATGCCCCTGCTTTAACTGAGGCATAAAGAAGTTGAGTAGTTTGCCCAGGCTTATACAGCATGGCAAAATCAAACTTAGATTCAGACACTGGGGGCTCATTTCAGTAGGCAGTGTTGTTCAACTCTTAAAATATTTGCTCTGGTAAAAGCTTTGCGCTTCTAGAGCCGTGTACAACAGTCACCTGTGATACTTGCTTTTTATTGCCTAAAATATTTTTCCCATTTACTCCTAATTCTTTGGCATTGAACATTGAAATCTTTCATGTATCAACAAATGTGCCTATTGGGAACCACCAGCGTGAAGTGATCAGTAAATTATTTTGAGTGCTGTTTTCTCCGTGGAGTGACAATAAAGCAAGAGGTAGATGAGCAAAATGCAAAGTTTTTTGTTTCCAGACAGTGCTGTAGTTGTGCAGATGACTTTTTCATAGCTAATTCTGAGGTACTTTAGGAATGAAGACTAATTATATCTTTTTGTTAAGCTCGATTATGCTGAAGATGCTACCGAACGGCGTCGTGTCCTAGAGGTAGAAAAAGAAGATACGGAAGAGCTGAGACAAAAGTACAAGGTACTTAAATGAATCTATTCTTGCAAGTGGGGTGCTCACACTGAAGGAGAGATAGTCATTTTTGGTCAATAGTATCTTTGTCGACAACAGTATTTTTTTTGACATTTGGTAGAAATTATTAGATATCAGATGTCTGTTACTTTCCTATTTATTGCTTCTGTAAAAACTACAGAGATAATAATACCTACTTTGTAAGTATATTAGGAAGATTTCATTAGTTAGTATTTGAAAACACAATACCTGCCACGTGTAGTCAGTCAATCAGTAGCAGTAAAAAATGTTACTTAAGAGTCCTTTGAAAGCTATTGATAAGACTTTGCTTTTTTTTGCTTGATACCTACTGATAAGACTTTGCTTTTTTTTTTTTTTTTAAATGGGTGAGGTATTTTAAGAATAACAATAAATTGAAAACTTTTTGTTCATTGTTAATTAAACTCAGTTCTAAAGCAGAGATTCTGTCACATGGAAGTATTAAGTTGAATTTTTCTTTTTGAAGGAGGTAGCTGTAGAAAACTCTGGATCTTCAGATGTGTTGCAAATTAGCTTTCAAAAAGGCCGATTAGGGAACTTGCCTTTTGAGGTGTTTTAAGAGTTCCCAGTCTCTGCCACAAAATAGATAAATTTGAAGATAAAGACTGGTTTAGTTAGGTTATCATATAGAACTGATTTTAGTCATGATACTTAGGTTGGGAAGACAAAAAAGGGATTTATTGATAAGAATATTTTCTAGCATAACAGGTAGGAGGAGAAAAAACGAAGCCATAGCCTATCAGTTATGTGAGTTTATAAGGCCTGTAAGGCACCTTGTAAAGTCTCACAGCTACTTTTTTTTTTTTTTATTGTACTTTAAATGAAAGTTTACGATTCAAGTTAGTCTCGTACAAATTTTATACATAGTTATATGACTCTAATTGCTCTCCCCATACTGTGACAGCACACTCCGCCTTTCCACCCCTGATTCCCTATGTCCATTCAACCAGCTCCTAACCCTCTCTGCCTTCCCATCTCACCTCTGGACAGAAACTGCCCGTTTAGTCTCTTGTATCTACTTGAGCTAAGAGGCACACTCCTCACGAGTATCACTTTATGTCCCACAGTCCAATCCAATCCCTGTCTGAAGAGTTGGCCTTGAAAATTGTTTTAGTTCTGGGCTGATAGAGAACCCAGGGGCCGTGTTTTCTGGGGTTCCTCCAGTCTCAGTCAGACCATTAAGTCTGGTCTTCTTACTAGAATTTAAGTTCTGCACCCCACCTTTCTCCTGCTCCATCCGGGACTCTCTCTTGTGTTCCCTGTCAGGGTCGTCATTGGTGGTAGTCGGGCGCCACCTGGTTCTTCTGGTCTCAGGCTGATGAAATCTCTGGTTTATGTGGCCATTTCTGCTCTTGGGCTAATACTTTCCTTGTGTCTTTGGTGTTCTTCATTCTCCTTTACTCCAGGTGGTTGGGACCAATTGATGCATCTTAGATGGCCGCTTGCAAGCTTTTAAGATCCCAGACGCCACTCACCAAAGTAGGATGCAGAATATTTTCTTAATAAGCTTTGTTACGCCAGTTGACCTAAATGTCCCCTGAAAGCATGGTCCCCTGGCCCCTACCCCTGTTCCTCTGTCCCTCAGAGTGTTTGATTGTATTCAGGAAATTTCTTAGCTTTGGTTTAGTCTAGTAGTGCTGACTTCCCCTGTAGTGTGTCACAACTGCTTTTAACTGCCTGTAAATTTAGCTCAATGTCTTGAATTCCCTAAATTGGTGAGACTGAGGGAAAGGGGTAATGTACCAACCTGAGGCCATAAGAATCAAGTTTTTGTAGTCCTGGAAAGCAAGGATCTATTATTTCCTTTATTTGTTAAGGTATATAAAAATCAAGCATAAATTATGACAACTATCCAAGTCCTGACACTTTGTCAGGAGGGACCAATCCCCGGAGAAGGACATCATTAGCGGGTCAGCGAAAAAGACAAAGACCCTCAACAAGATGGATTAACACAGTGGCTACAACAGGGAGCTCAAGCATAACAATTATGGGGATGGCGCAGGACTGGGCAGTGTTTCGTTCTGTGGTACATAGGGTTGCTATGAATCAGAACTGACTGGATGGCACCTGACAACAACATCCGAGGACTTGAAGATGTGTGCTTCTGTTTTGAATTTTTATGGCTATCTGGATCTCTTTAAGTGATTATATTATATTATATTGTATTGTATTGTATTGTATTATATTATCTAGAGTTGAAATTAATTATTTTAAGATTCTAGATGATTGTGAGTCAAGAAATTGGTGTTTCTCCTGCCTCATTATTATATACCCCAAGCAGTGATGCAAAGAGACTGTAGAAGTAGCAGCTGTGAGATGCCATTTATTTCTTTAATACAATTGGTAGCCTAGATGCCCTTCTCTTTCCTCCTCAGTATTATATCGGATGACTATATGAGCCTCCTTGTAGCTTTTGTGGAATTTTGTTTTCTACCTTTAAATACTGAGTTTGAAAAGTGTACTAAATATGGTGCCTTTAATTATTCAGAACCTCTTACCTGAGCACAATTATTTTATTGCTTAAACAAGGCTATTATGTGGTTGCTAACTGTGGCAGCATTATGAACCGTACATTCTTTAGATCTCAGAGCTTATTTTAGGTTATTCAGCAACTGGAAACAGTCACCTCAGGTTCTAGTATCAAATATCCTTTCTTTGTTGCTACTGAACCAAGGCGTTTGCAGAAATATTTGGTTTAGCCACAAGATGCATTTTACCTCTTTAGGCATGGATTTGGTGAGAAAGATATGTGTTCCCTAGTGCAAAATCCACTTTTTTCAATTTTTTTTCCCTGTAACATCATCATTTTTATTGAGTAGCGTAGCTTCAAGTGACAAAGTATATGATTTTGAAATCAAGGTTTTTTAAAGGTTTATAGCTGAAAATCTTTAAACCATTAAAAACTTTTGGACCAGTCCTACAGAAAATAACTAAAAGTGCTAGGTTTTTTTTTTTTTTTTTTAAAAAAAACTTCTTAAAAGCATCTAAGAGTGGGTGAGATATTGAGGAGTTAGGCTAAAATCTAATGAGGTAAATTGAGCAGTGAAATCATTTTTCCCTGAGGGCATGGCATTTGCCAAACCTGGAAAAAAGTACAGAGCCTTCTTAGTGTAGAGAATTTAACAGATACTCTTTATAAAGCTGGGACCACAAAGAGCTATAGTCTCAATGTAAATATGAACCATAAGTTAACCTGTCTCACCTCTACTTTCCTATAGGAGGAAAGTTATTGGCCCTGGGCAGAACCGGGGGCACAAACCATTCCTGAGACACGCCAGTCCTCACTTTATATTTGATATTTCAGAACACCTCATGTTATGAATTTAAAGTTATCCCAGACAGATGTTTCCCCAGACATCTAACAGAAACAAATGCAGATCTTCTCTGGAGGAATGGTCCTTCATCCTAGGCAATATACGCGTGCACACACACGCGCACACACACACGCACGCACACAAACCTAAGAAAGTATCAAATAGAACTTACATAGAAGAAAAGATCAGTCAACAACTCAGTAAGTAGGCTTAAAAGGTAAATAAACAAGCTTTAGAAAGAATTGGGAGATTGAAAAAAGTCAGAAGAAATTATGTAGACTGTAGCACAGAGAAACAACAGTGGAATTGTGAAGGAGAAGTTAAGAGACGTGGAATATAGAGTGAGAAGTTCTAACATAAAGAATGGAATTCCAGAAGAAAGGGAAATAATGGACAGAAACAGTATTGAAGAGCTAATGGCTAGCAATTTTTCAGCACTCAGCAAAAAACACTAAAATTCAGATTCAAGAAGCCCAAAGAATTCCAAGCAGGATAAATAAAAAGAAATCCATATCTATACACAGCCTTTTGAAACTGCAGGGTACCAAAGTCGAAGAGAACATCTAGTGAAAACAAGATTTTCTCTAAAAGAGTAAATAGACCAATTGCTGACTTTTCAACACCTGTCTTCTGGAAGACAAGAGATGGTGGAATGATATTGGCAGAGAAAGTAACTGCCAACCTAGCGTTATATACCAAATAAAATGTGTTTCAAGAATGAGGGTGAAATAAAGGTATTTTCAGACAAAAGCTATGAGAATTCACTAAATTTGATGAGACCCTCACTAAAGAGAATGATAAGGAATATACTTCAGAAGGAAGGTGATCCCAGGAATAATGTCTGAGATACAAGAAGGCATGATGACTATAGAAAATGATAAGTAATTCGGTAAACTTAAAATAAGAATTCTATAAGAAATAATTTCCTGTGGAATTAAAAAAAATATATAAGGGAATTAGAATTAATTACAACAATAACTAAGTTTGAAAGGGAGTAAACGGAGTTAGTTTTCTTCTTCTTTTTCCATTTTTCAACATCTTTATTGTTTATACCAGTACTTTAAATAGATCAGTGAAAGATCCTTTACAGTGTATGCATGCAAACTTTGTTTCCAATGTAAAAAAAAAAAATTTGGTGAAAATGTGTACAACAAAACATACACCCATTCAACAATTCTGCATGTACAGATCAGTGCCACTGGTTACGTTACATTCTTCACATTGTGTCAGCATTCTCACTATTTCTACCCCTATTTTTTCATCATCATTAACTTTTTTTTTTTAATTGTACTTCAGGTGAAGGCTTAACAGAAAAAATAGTTTCTCATGAAACAGTAGTACACATATTGTTTTATGACATTGGTTAACAACCCCACAACATGTCAACCCTCTAACTTCTCAACCTTTTTT